GACAGCAGTGACGTTCTTGTTGCCGTTTCCTATCAGGTCAGAATGCTTGAAACCGTATGTATGCAGAGTTTGATTGTGCACTGTGTTGTCCATAGTGATGATATGGCTGGTTTTCTTCAACGTTGACGCTCGTGCATGCACTCATTGTAATTTCAGTCTTCGGAAATACGTTTTCTTTGACTTGAATCTACTCTCAACATTCTGATCATTCTGCTTTTTCATCCCACTGGCAACCAAATAACCGCATTCACAATCGGCGCAAGATAATGCATGGGTTATATTTGTAAGAACTGAACTGCACTGCATTCGCCGTGAAGCGATTTGATAGAAAGTCACTTTGATGATCATTGATTCGTTCTTAACTTTCGAGGTGCCAGCCGCATGGGTTGTCAATTGTGTCTGATATTTTCATGGTTGTTTTTAAGGCGTAATGTTGGGCAGCGTATCTCACCGAAAGACACGTGTTCGATTCCTACCGCTGCCTTCCGACTTCCCCCATTTGTAGTGTTGTATGCTAGCCCTTTGATTGTACACTTCTCCCTCTTGAAAATTGTATGATGTTTTATTGCAAGAAGGGAAGAAAAGAAATAAAATAGATACGAAGAGTTGGACACTTGTGTTTGGGAACAAGGAAAATCAAGACGTTTTTTTCTCAAAACGAGTCGTATTGACTTCGGCAAATAATGAACACTGTACTTATCTTACTGAGTGACGTTTCTCTGTTTCGGTTGTCAAAGAATTGTGAAAATACTGCAAATGCTGTTCACTGTTACCATCTTTTCCCCGTTCTTTACTCTCGCAATTTTCACTGTTTTCGGAACGCAACGATCAGCTGCCAATCCGGTTTCCCTACTGGCTCGCCAGATCCCGCTCACTTTGGTCCCAATCAACACGGAATGCGGGCTCCACGACCCCCGAGGTCGACCGATTTCGCGTGAGATGGATGAGAAAATCGAAGAGGAATTCAATCGATTGTTGGGTACAGCTGCCTATCTGTGTCACACAAAATCCATGGATTCGATCACTTTGGCTAATGGGACGGAGAAGCTGTTATCTTTGGGCGAAGTGCTTGAGTTGTTGATTCGGTTAGTGTTTTTTATATGCGTGTTTTTGCTTTCGTCTCCAATCCCTCTTGTCAGTAGTACCAAATTCGTTTAGAATGAATAAACAAATAAAATTGAGAGATGAAAGAAAAGTGTTAGAGCCATATGGTTGCTGTTAGGCTCTATTACTAAGTGTCTTGTGTGCATATTACCTATGCGACACTTCGCCATCAAGCGTGGAACGTTGTGTACTCGTCTTGTGAATTTAGGACGAAATTCTGTGAATTCCTTGTGTGAATGAGTGAAGATCTTTTGAGGAGTACGCCCGGTCTACTGTGTTCAAGGAAGTGTGGGAAATCCAAACTGTTTTTTAAACCAGTAGATGAGTTCTTTGCCAAGCCCGAATACCATATTCATAACCTATCACCTGTTAACTTGAACCAATTTTTCTTATAAGTTTGATCTCTAGACGCAAAATTTTCTTATCCTAATAGTAGATCCAAGGAATTAGATTTGGGGCTGCATTTTAGAAATCTGTTTGCACCACGTTTTGACCTGGTTTCCCCTCCATCACCGGATCTGGAAAAGCTCAAGTCTACCTTAGTTACCAACCTCAGTGAATTAGTGACGTCGTAGCATCTCAAACTAGTAATAGACCTACAGAATAACAAGGAAATCGTGATATCCGAGCCGGGTTAAGGTGCGGGTATCATGCTTCCACATTAGACCGATGGCATAGAAAAGGTGGAAGCCGTATTGAGCGATCGGTTGAAATTCACAATAACAACGAAAAAGGCCACCCAGATAAAAGGTGTGTTACTCAAGATACGGACATGCTATAAACAAAAGGGAATCATTCTTGCGATCATTTTCGAACGTATTAGGACAACAGGGACGACAGTTCCGAGGTTAAATAAATTACAATAGGTACACAAACGGATATCCTTACTACCGATTCTGGCTATATGTAACTGTACTGGCAAACCGGTTGGTTGAATTACTGGGACCTATTTGAAGTGCATTAGTGAAAGACGTGGCATGCAAGGTACATTGAATTTCGTGAACAGTATTTGCATATTAAATTTGGCCAGTAGAACACTGCTCGCACTGGACGTCAGCTCACCCTTCATCCATATTCTCATCGGTGAATCGGTCGTGTATCATCTGTGCAGTTCTGTACGAAGTAATATTGTTGAAATGGGCCTTCCGTTGGATAGCCTGAAGCAACCGCTCCACTTCTGCACTAACAACGTCCGATTTCATTTCAACAATCAGATTGATCCACTCAACTCCAATCGTCTGTTCACGATTGTGTGCTATCCGCGTTGCATGCAAATAACATTCTTGCGTGAATAACGCGATATCGTCTGAACACAGACGTGTATGAGATACAAATAAAAATACAACGCGATATCGAAAATATGCGAACGGTCAGCTAAGTTCGGTGTTGTCCACCAAGACATAGCGTCTGACCCTCGACAGATTATTCATCTTCAAAACGATTATGTTCTCAGAGCTCTTCTAATTTTTAACTTCATAAATCTTGTTTCTCTTGTCCGCCATCAGTTATCAAGAGAAGCACCGCGTTCAACTCAAAGTAACACATCGAAAACTGGTCGTGAAATTGTTGGAACGAAAAAATGAATTACTAGTGCAGGTATGTCTGAGTTATTGTCTTTTTTGTGGTCGAAGTTATGAGGTTGGCGATGATAATGGAAATGATTTTTATTTATATTATTAATGAAAACTGTACAATCCATTTTCAGGAGGGAGAAGGAAGAGCTACAACAAATTAGGTGCTCCGTTGAGGGTCGTTGGTTGAGATTAATGAAACCACTTGGTCATCACACATATCTTTATGTACATGCTCTGCTCATTCGGTTGGTTGGACTAAGTTGGTTGTGGCTAAGTTGTTAGG